AGGGGATGGCCATACCACAATCCCTTCTCCTCCATTCTCCTCAGGATTTTGGGCATGCATGCACACGTGTCCAGCATGAGTTTCATGTTTCTGGGTCCAGTACTTGAACCACACTTGGCCATGTGGGATTCCAGTAACGTAACCATTACACCATTTGCTGGTCACAATTCAACATGTTGTAAAGCCATGTAGGAGATAACATCCCCAATTGGACTGGTGAGAAATGTATTCATGTTGGAACATTCACTTTACAAGCTAAGTGATGTATGTGGTTGAATGTATAAAAGAATTTAAAATAATATATATATTAAATAATTAAAAATAAATATGATATTCTCATTTAAAAAAAAACAAATTATTTCTACTGTTAAGATGAATACAATTGCATATTTGTAAAAGGATTCTATATGTTGTATTACATATTCTTTATGTATTAGAAAATGGAAGCATGGTTTAATAAAACTGTCCACATTTCGTATCTGAAAAATAAATAAATAAAGACATATAGGAGAAATGAAGACAAATGAGGCAAGAAATTCACAGGAACAGGAACTTAATCCAAGTACATGCAGGATGCCACAGAGACACAGAGGAGTGGGGCTAACCCCAGGCAGAAGGAATTATAAAAGGTCAAAGTGGCTTTCTGAAGGGAGATTTATGAAGTTATGTCTGTCTGTCTGTATGTATGTATTAAGAGAGATTTTTTGCTATAAGGTCTGTGTACTTGTTGGAGAGACAGAAGGAGAGAAAGTGAGAAGTCACCCACTGGGGGCATATCCAGGTTGTAATCCCTTCTCTTCCATTCTCCTCTCAGAATTTTGGGCACATGTGCACATGTGCCTGCCATGAGTTTCAAGCACCAGGATAGATGAACATGTGGGAGTCCTGTGCCTTAACCTCTATGCTGTCTGCTAGTCCCATAAAGTAAGTTTTGATAAAGAATGGAAAAGGAACATTCTATCCATTCATTTATTAGCTATCTATTTAGTACCTATTAAACACTTGGCACTTGACTCATCATTGATGGAAATATCAATACATAAGAACAGAGGTAGTAGAGCCCAACCAGACATGTAAATAAATAAACAAAATAGGAGTTTTGTTAAATTCCAAAACAGATCTGATTTTGCTCAGAAACACTGTGCTCAGTTGGCAGGGTTGGGAGGTGGGGAATAAATTTGCCAACTAAATGTTGCCATTTCTTTCAAACCATCTTTTGTAGGTAAAATCAGTCTCTTTTGGGTATTGTTGGGTAAAATCAGTCTCTTTTGGATATTGCTGATCAACGTTTTAGAGCTTTTTTTCATCCCTGACTCCTTTTTCCTTTCTTGTCATGAAGCATCTGGACACAGGAAGAATTTATTTAACCTCTTGAAGTATGGAGGAACTGCATCTGCTGTAAAGGGGTGTCTGTTGGCTTCTGCTGACAGCTCATCTTACCAGGTTTCTGGGACTTGACTTCTGTCATCACTTCTGTGATACAATATGTAGCACTTGATCTTGGTACAGGGAATGTGTGATGGGTATAATTAGGAGCTTGAGTTTCTTCTCTTGCTAAATGGTCATTTCATCAGCTCTCTTAGAGCTGGGCAACCCCCGAGGTTTAATTGTGACTCCTCTGGATCATGACTCCTTTAGAGGATGACTTTTTTTGAGAGGCATTTGCTATAGGACATGTGCACTCGTCAGAAAGACAGAGAGAGACAGACAGAAAGCGAGAAATCTCCCTCCCACAGGGGATGGTCACACCGCAATCTCTTCTCCTCCCAGGATCTTGAGCATGTACGCACACGTGCCAGTGTGAGTTTAAGCAACTGGGTCCAGGACTCGAACCGTGGTCAACTACATGGGAGTCCGGCAACATAGCCATTACGCCAACTGCTGGTCCCATGCTTTAGAGGATGACTTTTGCTGCACGTGCTATGTGGCTATGTCAACTATTACAAGCTCTTAAGCCTTCACCCTCAGTCATCTTTTTAGCCCACCATACATCTCTTAGAATATTCTGGAAATTCTAAGTCACTTCTACTTAACATGGAAGGAAAAAGAGACTTGAAGGTATCATTTTCTTTCCACTGTGCTATCTTTCCGTGGTTCCAATGGTAAATGGAGCTCAGAGTACCTCTGGTTATGGCTTTCAACTTTTTCAGATGAGCAGTTCCCAAAAACTACTTCTTGCTTCCTCAGGAAATTTTGTTCTTCTTAACTCACTTCCCCTGGCTGAGGGTCCCAGGCATCATCTTCACCCCCAGTTTGTTCATTTCAAACTGGCTCATTCCTCCAACAAGATGATATATTTCTCCCATGACAAGGCATCCATGAGCCTCCTTTCTGTATAGTATATTCTATCTTGGCTTGAGGTAAAATATTAGGTTAGAAGGGCCAACAGGTAGTGTGGTAGTTAAAGGCACTGTACTCCCACATGACCAACCACAGTTTGAGTCCCAGACCTGGCAGCTTTCTCTCTCTCTCTCTCTGCTGTCTCTCTGGTGAATACATGTGACCTATAGCAAATTTATAATAATAAATAAAATTAAATAAATAATTTTTTAAAATTTTAGTTTAAATTTCTCATCTTTGTTCTTGTTATATAAAAGGACATTTCTGAAAATTAGCTCTTTTTACACTGAAGATAGCCTGGTTTTTAAAATTATTTTGTTATTCTGGCCTCAGAAACTTATTTTAGAGAAAATTCTGAATATTTTTTCTTTCATTAAAATTTTGCTACGTAAATTCTAATCACCTCTCAAGTGTCATGTGCCTCAGAATGAGTGGAGGAGAATCTGAATGTAAGGAGGAAACACAGCAGGGGAACCAGCAGTTAGCGTAATGGCTATGTCGCTGGACTCCCACGTAGTCAACCGCGGTTTGCCTCCCGGACCTGGTGGCTTAAAACTCACACCGGGCGCATGTGCGTGTGTGCCCAAGATCCCGAGAGGAGAATGGAGGAGAAGGGATTGCGGCGTGACCATCCCCCCTGGGGGGTGATTTCTCACTTTCTGTCTCTATGTCTCTCTCTGTTTGGCGAGCGCACGCGCCCTATCGCAAAAATCTCTCCAAAAAAAAAAAAAGGAGGAAACACAGCAAAGAGCATGTTAGTATTCTTTGCAAAATATTTTCCCTCAGCATAGATAAATTGCTATATCTGCATTCATTGAATTTATAGTCAGTCATTGGAGACTGAACAAATAAAATGATTCCTGATACTGGTAAAAACAAAAATTGATAGAGGATGACTTAGTGTGAGTTGGGATGGAGAATTTGATTAGACTGCCTTTTGTGTTATTGCTGTGTATTTTAGTTTACATGTATTTAATACCCTACAGTTATTGCTGCTTCATAAGATTATTATTACTATTTTTCCAGTCTTAAAGTTGCATTTTCTGTGCTCTTTATTTATTTCTGCATTTTCGTGTTCGCTTCTGAGGTTACTTTCTTTATGCCTATAGAATTCCTTTTACTATTCCTTTTGGAAAAAAACTGATGATAATCTTTTTGTTTATCTGAAAAAAATTTATGGAAATTTTCTCTGGATACAGAATTCTAGGATGTTAGGCATTTCCCTTTAGCAGTTAAAATTGTCATTTTTATTCTCTTCTAACTTGTATAATTTTTGCTAAGATATGTAATATGTTCTCTTTGTCTTTGGTATTCAGAAGTCTGATAGACATTTGGATTATTTCCACTTTTGGCTAGTGTGAACCATTCCTTTCACATTGAATGGTGTTGGCACCAATTTGTTATGTTTGAATTTGCATGAGAAATGTTCTATTTTTATGTATGAAACTTTTTTTTTTTTTTAGGTTTTTGTCCTAGGACCTGTGCACTCTCCAGAAACAGAGAGACAGAGAGAAGGAAGTGAGGAATATCACCCCCATTGGGGTATGGCCATGCAACAATCTCTCTTCCTCCTTTCTCTTCCTATGATTTTAGGCAAGCACATATACACACCTGGCACAATTTTCAAGGTGCCAGGTCCAGGATTCAAACTTCAGTCAACCATGTGGGAATCCAGCATCTTAAAACCATCATGCTACTTGCTGGCCTCAAGAAACTTTTTTTAAACTAAATTTTGTTATATTTTATTGTGGTTATATATAATAATATTTATCATTTTAACCATTTTTTAGAGAGATTTTTGCTACAGAGTGCATGTTCTTCCTGGAGACACACTGAGAGACAGAGAGACAGAAAGTGAGAAATTACCCCTGGGGACCAGTAATTAGCGTAATGGCTATGTCGCTGGACTCCCACATAGTCGACCATGGTTCGAATCCCGGACCTGG